TTTTTTTTTTTTTTTTTTTTTTTTTTTTTTTTTTTTTTTTTTTTTTTTTTTTTTTTTTTTTTTTTTTTTTTTTTTTTTACTGAAAGCTGATACGTGTGAAATGACTCCAACTTTTTAAATAAAAGTATAATTTTTTTTTTCTCGAAACGGATGCAAGAGTCTAGATGGATAGGAGAGACCAAGGAGCAGAGATAGTGTAACCACTAAATAAAAAGTAATGGCTCAAGCTCACTGCTTACCGTTATTGTCTACTTTGGCCCTTATGTATGACAATGTCGAGTGCTTCGTTAACCCTCTCCAACCAATTTGGGATCTCTCAATCCACCATTCTTGAGGGCCCAACGTCCTCGCTGTCACATGGCCGGTGGTCGTCAGCCTGGTGATTCGTTCCCCCTCTCCAATCAATTTGGGCTCTCACAATCCACCCTTCTTAGAGCTCCAACGTCTTCGTTGGCACGATGCCTGTGGCCATTAGCCTAGTGCTTCATTCCCCCCTCCAACCAATTTGGGACCTTACAATCCACTTTTCTTAGGGGCCCAACGTCCTCACTGGCACATAGTCGGTTCCCCCTCTCCAACCAATTTGGAATCTCACAATCCACCCTTCGTAGGAGCCCAACGTCCTCTCTAGCACATAGCTGGTGTCTGACTTTGATACCATTTGTAATGTCCCTAGTCCAACGTTAATAGATATTGTTTGTTTTGGTTCTTTACATATAGTTGTCAGTCTCACGGTTTTATAACTAAGGTGTGATCTAATACTAAGTGGGAGCATAAATTTTTTTAAAAAAAATTGTTATTCTAACACTTTATTTTGTTTGTTAATGCTTAATAAATTAAATGTTAATTATCACCTGCCAATCTTCTTCCCGCTGAAAATGCCACCTCAAATTTAGGGCGCGGGCGCAGAAATGGCTTAATCCGGATGTGAACTTGAAATGAACTCGGTGATTCTCTCGATGTCTTCTCGGGGCCGACATTTCAATTTGGACGATGCCGACGGAAACTTAGTCATGGAGTTAGATGGCGTCAAAGGCTTCAGGAAGAAGAAGATGACGATCCGCTTCATAAATTTATCGATTACGCGAGGCCTTTGCTATTATTTGAAGACTAAGAAAACTTCGATCCTAATGTTAATGGAACGGAGACCAATGCGGCCGGTTGGAGTTTGATCGCCTCCCGGTTCCTCAGAACTTGTATCGCCTACTCGAGTTTTGTTACCGCTGCGATTTTGCTATCTAAGCTCTCGCAGGTACCGCGAATTCGAACTCCTCTAAGGTTTCTTTCTTCGACTATAGATACTTTGAGCAAAAAATTATGTTAATTGCCTGATTTCCAATCAAAGGAAGATGCAACAGTGAGGACTGCCTGAATTCTTGATGTTTCACAATTGGATTAGTGATTTCACCGTAATTGATTCCAGGAGTTCAACGGAGTCTCTTGGTTACACGTTTGAATTTGTAGTAATACGCCGTCTGAGTTCCTTTTTAATATGTACACCCATTTATTACTTAGTGTTCATAACAACGAGAGGGTGGTATAAAGGCCCGTGTTTTATTCTAAATGAGGGATGAATACTTAATACTCTGTCATTTCTTGGTTCTAGGCTTTTGAAATTGATGCGTCCTTAGAGTTGCTTGATCCAATTGTAGTCCTGTTTTCCTTTTAAGTATTAGGCAATGGGGGACAACCTCGAGTGATCCAGATTGCACCCTGACCGCACATATTGGTTTTTAAGTATTAGTATCCTCTCAACTGTCCTTTGCGATTCGGTATCTCTTCTTCTGAGAGGCTAGTCAACTGTCAATTATGAAATTATCCATGTGAGTATTGATTGGTTGCCGCCCAAGCTTCATAATCTGAATTGGAAATAAAAAATTTAATGGCGATGAAGGCATTCATTTCTTCTCTAGGAGGAGAATGCATTCTGAGCTTCTTAATCTCTCCAGTCAAGTTTGTGTGATTAGCGTATACAGGAAGAATAAAATTTTGCCAAAGCATAAAATTGTTTACACTGATGTAACCTGATTGACCCGATTTTCTAGTGGTGGGAGTTGGGATTAGCCATGAAAGCTCGGGTGACAAGAGATGTTCTGGGATGAAAGAAATTTAGCTGAAGTAAAACATGGTGCATAATGCAGCATCTTGTAGAGCTGCATTTATGATGTTGGTGTTCTTTTGTTTTCCCCCTTCACTAAAATGGTCAATGCTTAAACTTTAGAGGCTGTAGTTTAACAAAAGGATGGATTTTGGATATCCGATCATGAACTGACTGCCTTATCTTCAATATTTTCAGGATTGAATCTATTGGTCACTGGAAATTTATGAGAAGATTAATGACTTCGGATGATACAAATCAGTGATAATGATGATTTCAATTTAAAGTTTATCGTGGGGTGAACAGGGGTTACTAGCCAATATTATAAGGTGAATCTTTTAGTTTGATGTTAACCATTTCAAGAATATTCTTATATGATTATATCAACGTAACAGTTCTCATTTGAACAGTGTTGGTTTACTTGCACTTGATAGACCATAAATTGCAACTGTAATCGAGAATGGCATTGGAACAAGTGATGATCTTTGTCTTGAATATGTTAGTGCAACACAGTTATACTTGGTGCCCTGCATTCATCAAGTGAGTTGTAGAACCCCACCTCTCCCCACACCATGCACACACAAAATTTAGAGACTTCTCTGTTTCTTGGATCCCGTCGATATGTAAATATTCCACAACGCAGGTCTCTGTTTTAGCACAGAATATAAACCAAGCTTCAAGAACGCTTAGCACGTCGTATCCTACACTTAGTACATCTTTATGAAGATAAATCTTAATAGCCATCTGTTTGTGAAGTTTACAGTCTTCTGTGGTCGACCTTCAAGATAAGATGACTGGCATTAGCTTATATGGTAAGGTTTTATGAATCTTGACATTTATATAGCTCTTCAAATAACAAAGACTTCTCATCACCTATACTTCCACTCATTTTTGAGTTGCACTTTTCTTTTTCTTTTCTTTGTGTCTTCTCTTGTAAAGATCGGTGGACATACAGTATCTATAAGTGTCCTGACATGCACCATAAACAAGAATCGATGAGCTAATTCAAACTATTTACTCCGTTATCTAATAAATAAATTGAAAGTCTTGGACAATTTGAAATGCTTATATACATAAAATAATAGCTTGTCGTTGATTTGAGGATTTTCTCCTTTTAGATATTTTGGCGAGTTCTTCATGGCATTTCTAATTTGATTTGAGTCTTTTGCTTGTGAAGCTTGGAGGCTTTATGGATTGAGAATCATGTTGGAGCTTCTTTTGTCAACTTGAGCTGCTTGCCAGCGTTGTTTTCTCCTTGTCATCTTAAACTTTCACGACTTTCTGATCTTACGAGCAATACTCATGGTACAAAGGCGAAGCTTTCTCTTTTTCCTTCTCTTTCTTTCTTTTTGTCTATAGTATGTTATGTGTGATGAGGAACTTCTCAAAGTGGAAAGGTTTCAGATTTCTTTCCATTTACCAGGACCACTAGAGAGCTCTAATCGCTCATCCCCAATAGTCTACTTCGCTGAAAGGATTTATGGGAGCCGTACATCAATATCCTTTGGAGATCAAGTGAGGCAAAACTCCGTACCTTTGTTGCTTGGAAGCAGCATAGTAGGGATTCCTCATTCTTATAACGTAATATATAAACAACAAACGTTAGGAGAGAGACAAATGATCAATGAAGTTTATCTTTTTGCAACCTTTATTGGGAATTTAGGGAAAATTAGGCTTGATAACGATTTTGTTACTTATCTCTGTTTTTTGAAAATTATGTTTGTTTCCTCTTAATTTCTTTATTATGGATTTAGAAACATAATAGTGAATTGAAGGAGGAAGATCGGCAGATGTGGAAATATTGACTATTCTGTTAATGATCCACTTTCATGGGAGATTACTTTGCACTTGTGAATAATGCTTCATTCAGGAACTATCTTTCTAGCAGTGGCTGCTGCAAGACGGCAAAAGGTATTGTAAAGACCTACAGGTATTATTCATTGTTCATTTCAATGTCTTGAACTGCAATACCCAATTAAATTCATAACACAGGCATTTTAATGATATTTTTGTCCTTTTTTTTCATATTTTATGATGCATTATAATCATTTATCTAAAGAATTGGACGTTGAAATATTCTCGCCCTTTGTGGTTAGAAATTTAATGGAAACAAAAAAGTGTAAGATCCTAGTTATTATAAAGGTTGAGTGTAGACTAAAGAAATATTCTTTAATCCATTACACATTTGTGGTTATGTAGACCTTTCAAATAGGTTCGTCACCCCTATACTTGACCTTTTTGGTAGCATTAATTCTAAGTCCAAGGTCTAGTTTTGAGCCAAAAAAGTATAGATAGAAATTCCTTAGGCTTGCGTGATTTGAACTAGAATCTAAAACCAAACATTGTTCTGATCAAGCTTTTAAATATCGATATTGCTAGAAATGTTCAAATCATTTTGATTCTTTTATGATTAATATTTGGTCTAAACTAGAGTGATATTTTACTGCATGTCATTCATTTTTGTTTCGATTTAAGATTTAGTTTAGTCTCAAATATACTGTTTTAATATAGGTTTAATCATGAAGCATGAGTTAAAACTTCGTTAAAGGCAAGTAAGATAAGAGTCTTGTGACTTTTAGAATTGCACCACCAATTCTTGAATTATATTTGAAGCAATGAATTTGTTAATTCTGTTGCTCTTTAAGCAAAAGTTTAATATGCTTTCGATGATTATTGTGAAGTTCATGTGTTTAGTGTTCATTTCTACAGTGTCTGTTTATCCAATTCCCCAAGCCACCCCTTGATTCTATTTCTGCCTCCATAACCTTATATATTACTCCTACATCCTTCTTATTTCATTTCAAAATCACCTGTTTTTCTTTCTTTCTTTCCCTAATTAATTTTTCTGTCCATCTTCTTTGCAGGGCATCACCAGATTTTAAGCCCTCTTAAGGTATGTTCACCAATATTTCCTTTTTTGTTAGCAAATTTTGTGTGAAATTTATGATTGCTTGTATAAATAGAAGATTAATATCACCTAAAAGTACCTATATTTATAGCTTAGGATTTTCAAGTCCTAATTTTTTACACTAAAACTATTTAATAGGTGTTACATTTTATGAAATTTATTTAGTGTAGTATAGGTTGAAATTATGATTAAAAAATACTTCGACTAAAATAGGTGTAATGGGTTGGATGATGAAAGTCTAATTTAAGGAATGATCCTGGGATTATAATCAAAGATATAATCAAAGAATACTCTCTCCATTGGGATGAGGTCTTTTGAGAGCAGCTTATGCTCAAAGTGGGTAATATCAGACGATTGTTGAGAGTCGTGTTTGTCTAACGTAATGGAAGTTTTGAAAATTTAAAGACTAAAATAAATCAAAGTTGAAAGCGCACCCACCAAAATATTATTTAAACCTAATTTTGTACAAGGTAAATTGATATTTTAAAAAAATAAATTTATGTTAAATTGTATAGTAAATTGATATTCTTGCATTTTTACTTTTTCAATAGTCTTTCAATCTTCTGTGTTTAGTGAATTTTCTTTATGTATGTCGTTCAATTTGTAAATTAGAGATTGAAATCTCTAACTTTTATTTTTATCGACTTAGTTTAAATTAAAGTTGAAATTAATATTTAATACTAAATCTTTAATAAGAAATCTCATAACAATATAAATGATTTTAAATTACAACTAACATACTAAATGAAATTATTAAATAGATTAAAGAATAAATTATTAAATTAATAAAAACAAAAATGTTATATAAATTTAAAATATCAAGTAAATTACACTTTTGATAACTTTGATTTCTCCAAAAAGCTTCATACAAATTGAGTTAGTATTCTTGGATTGATTTTCTCTAAATTAGCTGATGTGGACTTTCATCGAACATCCCCTCCTGCCTTTCCTCCGGCTAACTATCCGGTGTCAGTGACGCACCCCTCTTCCTCCCGCATGAGAAATCAATCTGGGAATTAAAAATCGATTTGTAAAAGAATGAATTATTATTATTATTATTATTATTATTTTTTTGTATATTTCTATGATTTTTCATATTTAAAATCTTGATCGTGATCTATTTACTGTTTTTTTTTTTTTTTTCTCAATGAAAGTATTATTCGCTTTTTGTGCTCAACAATTTTAATGAATTAGATCAATAATATTTACCATTTACCTTGCCTGCCTCTGTTCCGGAAATAAAGCGCCTCTTTCTTGGCCGTCGCCGGGAAGATGGATTCATCAAGAGCATTGTCTCATTCGATTGATGTTCCGGCGACCTCACAAGGAAGCTCTGAGGAAGAATCTCTCCTATCTTCCATTGAAAGAAAATTGGAAGCCTTCTGTTCATCCATTACCATCTTCAGAGCTACAAATGAAATCAGTATCGAAGATAGAAACGTCTTCGTCCCCGCCAAAGTCTCAATCGGCCCTTTCCACCACGGCGCGCCACATCTCGAATCAATGGAAAATCTCAAGTGGTGCTACTTGTCCGCTTTCTTGAAGAACAATCCGTCCGTCGATTTACAATATCTTATTGAACTCGTTGTTAAATCTGAGAGCCGATTGAGAAAATGCTATGAGGAAGAGTTTTATGGTTTCGACAGCAATAAGTTTTCACAGATTATGTTGCTTGATTGCTGCTTCATTCTCGAGCTGCTTTTGCGATACTCGAAAAAGAGGCTCAGGCGACGGAATGACTCTGTTTTCACTACTCCTGGTTTGCTCTTCGATTTGAGATGCGACTTGATGTTGCTTGAAAATCAGATTCCCTACTTCCTTCTCAAAGACGTTTATGCAAATGTGCAAGATCCGACCGAGGAAAATATGTCTCTCAATGACCTAACCTTCCGATTCTTCAAAACTATGGTTGCTGGAGATCGGCAATTTGTTTACGACAATTTCATGGTGGAAGCAGATCATCTACTCGAAATGATTCACTCTTGTTTTCTCTCCACCTATCCTCGAATGGAGACGAACGACAACTCGAAGTCGAGAGAATTACCTAGTGCGTCGAAGCTTAAAACTGCGGGAATCAAAATCAAGAACTTCAAATCTTCAAAGAGCTTATTAGACATCAAATTTCAGAACGGCGTCCTCGAAATTCCACCTCTCAAGGTGTATCAAAAGACAGAGGTGATTCTGAGGAATCTTGTAGCGTATGAGATCCATCAATCCGGAAGCGACCGGCAAGTGAAATCGTACATCAATTTCATGAGTCACCTTCTACAGTCTGATCAAGACGTGAAGATTCTCTATAGAAGGAAAATCCTAAACGATCAGGAGAACGACGAGGAACAGATTATTCGAAATTTGAAATGGATGAGGGAGAAGGAGAGTTTATCGGGAACGTACTTTGCCGGCATTGTTCAGAAATTAAACAAGAAGCGAGACCGATGTGTGTGGTGTCAGAATTTAATACAATTTATTTCGAGTTTAAAGAATAAATTATGGAATATATGATATTATATCATTTAATATCTTAAAGAATATATTAATTAGAAAATATATTTTAAATATTCAGTTAAATTTGAATATTAATATATTTTATTTTATTATCAAGATTGAGTTAGTTTATATTTTTTTTTATAGATATTATTTAGTATCTTGTATTCTATTTAAAGGTTGTGAATATCAATGATCAAGAACTTTCGAACTCAATTCTATTTTTTATTCTTATATCAGTATTATTTAGTTGAGTAATAATATTTTCATATCTATTCATACTTTTGAGGGGTAGATATTGCATCAGGTGGCGAAAGTGGAAAAGGAATCTAGTGGCCATCGCATGGTCGGCGTTTTGGTGGTGGTTGTGATCTTCGTCGCGGCCTTCTTCTCTACATTTTCAGTACTTCAGAATCGTTACAAATGAGCATATATACGGTTTTATGATCATATTGATCAACTTTCAATTTGTCGATCACTCCCTAAACTTCCATTATTTTATGCTTTTTCCCCTTCATTGTTGCAAAATACATTTTGTCCAATATTGAAAATAATGAAATCACTCAGTAATAAAATTTTGTTTATTTATAATTTTTTTGCTAAATTATTTTAAAAAAATTCACTAACGCGTATAAAATTTTATGTTATTTTGTATTCCTTAGCCTTTCTTTTGAATCAAAATAGGTCGGGGGAAGCTACCGTTTATACGACACCTCCACTTCCTCGTCTTGCTTCTGGCAAAGTTTCAACTTTGCTTGCTTGTGCAAAAGCTGAAAAATCCTTTTCGCTCGGTCCAAAAGCTTCCCAAAAGATCAGATCCAACCGAAATCCTGCATATTGAGTGCAGCTGATATGCGGGGCTAGACGATCATATCATGTCATAAAACGATTTGATTTGTATAGAGAGATGAAGTGGTTGAGTGAGGATACGTGTGTATTTTTTATTACATAAATTAAATATTAAAATTTATAAAAAATGACATTTTTGTATTTTCAACGTATTAATATTTAAAATAATAATAGATATAAACACATGCTGAGCGCGGAATATAATCTTTACCTTCAGCCGCCTTCTCGAACCTCAGGAAGACACGGCATCCGTCAACGCCAAATTCGTGTTTGCATTCAATAATTGTTTTCGTCGTGGAGTCTCTGCCATTGAAGTTGCGCCCCTTCTTCCAAATTCCTCTGATCAAAAGCTTCCCAACAATCATTCCACAAGCTCTGCAGAAGTGAAACGCAAAGAGAAAATGGACGGTGAACGGAGAATCGGAGTTGCAGTGGATTTCTCACTCTGCAGCAGAAAAGCACTGAAATGGACTATCGATAATGTTATCCGTAAAGGTGATTACCTAATTCTCATCACTGCTCGCCCTGAAGGCGATTATGAAGACGGCGAGATGCAGCTCTGGCAAACTACCGGATCTCGTAAGATGTTCTTCCTTCTCGATCTCGTTCTTTTATTTCTCTCATCCGATCTCCGGAGGTAGCGCAAGCGCTTGTTCGATTGCACTGAAACCTTTTTCTAATTCTCTGCAAGATTGTTGCTCTTTTCGCTGTTTGAAGAAATTCGGTTTCGGTTTCGGTTTGATTCTTTTGTTCTTGGCGATCGACGTATTTTGTAATTGTCGCTGTGTGTGTGTTTTCTGTTTTGTAGCGCTTATTCCTCTGGCTGAGTTTTCCGATCCTCACACCATGAAGAAGTACGGGATTAAGCCGGATGCTGAAACTCTGGACATCGTGACGACGGCGGCCGCTCAGAAGGAGGTGATTTTTCTATCTTTATGTTTTTGTTAAGCGGTTTGTTTTAATTTCTGCGTTGATGATTGAAATTTTTCTGTAATGGAACAGATCACTGTATTGCTTAAGGTTTATTGGGGAGATGCTGGAGAGAAGATTTGTGAAGCAATTGATCAGGTTCCTATCAGCTGTCTCGTCATTGGGAACAGAGGTCTTGGCATGCTTAAGAGGTGAGATGGAATTCTCTTTCAGTTGTTTGAATCATAACTCTTTAAGAATTTAGACTTCTTAAAACTGGTAATGGTTCCATATATAGAAAAAAATTGTGAAAATGTTTTTGTAAAGAGTTTATCAATCAGTCCCTGGATCTTTGCTTATAATCACTGTGATTGTGAGATCTTAAGTATTGGCGACAATATTGGCTAGATATTTAAGGCGGACAATATTTCCTGGATATGGGTTTGGGCTTGGGCTGAGGCACTGATCCAAATAGGGTTAGACCCTCTTCATAGTAGATACATTTTAAACCTAAATGTGTGAAGTTGACGGCTATATGTAATAGGCCAAGACGGACAATATTTGTTAGCGATGAGTTTGGATTGTTACAAATGATACTAGAGGTATATAACGGGCGGTATGCCAGCGAGGACGCTGGCCCCTAAGGGGGTGGATTGTAAGACTCCACACCAGTTGGAGAGAGGAACGAAAGGTGTGAAAACCTCTCCCTTACCGACGATAACAGGCCAACAGGCCAAAACAAACAAAAATTACTAGTGACAAGGGCATATTTGTTCTAACTAATGGAAACATTCCTTTAAAAAAAATATGAAAACTACAAGTATAAATTTGAAAATTGTGGAATATTTTTACAGGGCAATATTGGGGAGTGTAAGCAACTATGTGGTGAACAATAGCTCCTGTCCAGTCACTGTGGTGAAGAAAGGAGATCATGAGCACTGATCATCATCATCATCCCACCCCACAGCACTCTTTAAGTCTACATTTTCTCATTCAAATTCTCTTATTCTAAGATAGTGAATATGTTTTGTGAACTGGTAATGCATATGTTGATGGATGGCTTGGCCTTCGTTGCTGTGTTCTTCAAATGTTTGGATACTATTAAAACCTTGGATTGCTTTTTTACTTGTTGAATTATAAGACATTTAAATTTACCCTAAAAATATTCACACACATACGACCACTGTGCCTCAGAGCAAAGCTATCAACCAACAAAAAATATCAGTGATCTAAGATTCATCCATGAACACAGAGCCATGAGCGCTTTTGCCTTCATGAACTGCTTCAGCAAAAGAACAACAATTGCAAGAGTGAGGCCGATAGCAGCCCATTTGAATAACCAGTCATCGGCTGGCCTATGAGCTCCCGTCTCCGGCCTCCTCTGCACCTGAGCGGTGGGGCGACTCGATGGCACCTCTCTTGCCACTCTTGCTGCTGCTTCAGGCTGGAGATTGACATGCACAGATAATCCCTCTGGTACTGCTTCCTCAACAATCATGTCGATTGCGGGTGGATTCGGAATCTCTACCAGAGCAGCTGCAACTTCAGCAGCTCCAGAAGTTACCTGGACATTGGCGGGTTTCTCCTCAGAGGCATCTGAAGAACCCGGCTGAGGGACAGGCGGCGCCTTATTCAACAGATATTCATGAATCTGTGATGTAAAGAAGCTGATTACCTAACAGTATCATAGCTTTCGAGATATCGACAGAACTTGGGAGTACCTCGTTAATTAGTTTTTGACGTTCGGGAGTACCTCGTTAATTAGCTTTTGGCGTTCGGGAGTACCGAATTTGGGGGGCGCTTCTCGAGATTTGATGGCCAATTCTTGTCGCTCTTTCTTCTTGTAGTCCAGGGAACCAAGAGCGCCATTTGGGATTGTGGGCATGAAAGCAATTAATGCAACCAAGGCAGTGCGCACTATGAACAAGCATCAACAGAAAAGGGTAAGCGGGAAAAAATGAACAAAGATCAGAGCATGTGGAACTTGAGGCAACTAAACGTAAATGTAGAAACCGGACAGCGGAAACCCTATGAGCTAACATAACAAAACAAGACAAGTTGAAATAATGATACAAAAAACTACCACTCCACGACGGTTGCCAATGCTCTGGATGGTGATTCGATATGCTCAAGCAAATCTTCGTTTGGGTTTCAAAGCGCCCATTTGGCTGAAAGAAAGGAAGTGTCAAAATAAACACAAGAAGAACTATGTACATGTTCGAGAGTTAACCTTTTTTGTCAAGTTCAAAATAACTCTAAAACTTTAATCATTCAAAATCAATTTGATTGTACGAGCATCTTGTGAGATCCAAGAGTGGTTGGAGAGGGAAGCGAAGCCTTATAAAGGTGTGAAAATCTTTTCCTAGTGGACACGTTTTAAACCGTGAGACTGACGGCAATACTTAATGGGCCAAAGCTTACAATATCTACTAGCAGTTGGCTTAAGTTGTTACTAGTATCAGAGCCAGACACTGGGAGGTGTACCAGCGAGGACGCTGGGACCCCAAGGGGGATTGTGAAATCCCACATTGGTTAGAAAGGGGAAAGAATCATTCCTTATAAGAGTGTGGAAACCTCTCTCTGGTGGACGCGTTTTAAAACCATGAAGCTGACAATGATACGTAAAGGGCCAAAGCAGACAATATCTACTGGCGGTAGGCTTGGACTGTTACCCATCTTGTTTAAAGATGTACTAAAGAAGACAAAAATGATTTTAACTCTTTCAAAATCAAGCTCAAACATGCTCCATTTAAAAGACAATAAGCAACAGAAAGGGGAACAAGCATGAAAAGAGATTGCTATCTTACGGTTAGCAACATGAATGAAGGTGGCTTGAATGGATATTCTGCTGGCAATTGTATACGTCCATGATATATCCCACCCTCAAATTCACTATCATCCGGTCCACGGATGGCAAATTGCCATTCAAATATATTCTCCTGAAAATGCAACATTTATCCTCGAATTCCACAGAAAGACTTTTTGGCAAAATCCTTAAACTCTGTAACTGTCAAAAAGACAAACTACGCGGATTAATACCAGAACTGGTGTATCAATCGTGCAATGGTTCGCATAGCAGATATTTTTCTTCTTTTACCAAAATGCAATGAAGTCGATACAATTATAAGAATTAACACACATGAACATAGCGAGAATAGCATAAGATACATGGAAGATTTATGGAAAAGGATTGGATGCACGTGTATTCGTAGAATCAGTAATCAATTCAAACAAATTGATTATTAGCCTAACTAGAGAGT